CTGCCATGGGTTGGATTGATGAATTCCCCTGAGTGGAATGGGCAGGGGCAGGGAGCTGTGGGGCTATTCCCACCTATTGCATAGGGGAAGGGGGCAGAGCTTTCTGTTGGGAGTGGGTTGGAGCAGCGACTTGAAAAGGGTTTGTTTGGGGTGCGGTGAGCAAGTGGTCTTCTAGGAAAAGCTTTGGAGGATGTAAGCAGAAGCAGGAATGGGGAAGAACTTGACAAGCGAGTAGGGTTGCTCCCATGGAGAAGGGTAGGATGTTGTAGCCAGAGGCAAGGAATAATAAGGCTGAGAAGGATAATAGTCCCTCCAGGTAGTGCTGGTGCTGAGCAGAGAAGAAGGTTCAGTTATGGCCCTGCCAGCACTGCTTTGAAGTGGACCAGAAACTCCTGTAGCCTGTGGACGGCATTGGTGAGAAAAAGGTTGTGAAATAAATTGTTTTGCTTAAAAGTTTATTCGACAGGGTATGAAATTCTGGGGGGGGTTGGGAAGGGAGAATAACCTTCCTGCGGCCAGCTGACCGAGGATGGATTGCTGCTGTTTATGAAAAAGGCAGCAACCAGGATGGAAGACACTGAAAATTGCGCATTTGTCACTGTGGGAGAGCTGGAGAAAAATGAAAGCTGTGCGTAGCACACCAAGTTGAACTGGAGTCTAAGTGAAACTGCAGTAAGGAGTTTATCATCCTCTTTTTTTTTTTTTTGGAAGGGCCACTGTCCAAACAACTGCCTCCCCCCAGCAAAAATCCCCAACCATGCACAAAAAAAACCAAACAAAATAACAGGATGGTGGGACCGTGTTGAATAGGGTGCACCTAAAGATCCCAGTGAAATCAGTGGGACTAAAATGGAGAAATTTTTCCAAGCCTGAGCTGCAAGTTATCCATCAATAATTATTTTAAGAAGCGTTAGACCTTGTTTGTAGTCAGCATAGTCTTCTCTGCAACTCTGAGGCTAACAGATCTTCCCCTCCTCTTACCATTTATGCTGGTGTCTACTCCTTTATAAATTATTGGCATGTCCCCTAGTTAATTCTTTGATGACAACAAAATGGAGCTTGTATCTCATTTCAGTAGACAGCAGTTTCCCTTGGGTGAATATTTAATTGCTTTTGGACTGATGCATTGTGTTGGCTTCCTTGATACCTGCTTCTTGCTTTGTACCTTGGTTAAATAAATAAATAATAATGGTAGCAGAAAAATGATGTTCTGTTCATAGGCATTATGTTATCTCAGTGATACACCTGAGAACAGAAGGGGAAGGACTGGAAGTATTCATTCTCTAAGGAAGGAGCAGAAGGGTTAAAAATAAGACAGATTTAAAAGATTCTTAATAAGATGGCGAGGGGATGCCCTTACAATGGTAACAGCAAGCTGGTTTTTATAAACCTTGGTTTTTCGTGTGTGTGTGTGTGGTGGTTGTGACTTGACAGAGGTGCAACTGGTTGGGATGCAACGCTGCTTTAGCCAGGTAACTGCTGCAGGAGGGAGCGATGGGCTGGAGCCTTACCATTGAGCACAGAGGGAAACTGGGGTAAATGAGGAACAGAAAGGCCTGAGTTTAGAAAACCTGCTTGTCCTGTACTGGTAATGGTAGGCTGCATGTGTGTTCTTTTAATGGAGATTTCACAGCTCTGTTTAAATGAAGTGTGCCAGACAAAGATACCTGGAGCTGGAGGATGAGGCGATGAGATCCCTTTGTATCTTCAGACAGATCTGCTGGGCCATAAAACCCTGCTGTTTGTCCTGGTGTGGTGGCACCCCGCTGTCTGGGGTAGGGCTGTCACTGTCAGGGGCAGCAATGGGATTCCTGCTACCCTCTGTGGTGGCTGCTTTTGCGATACTCTCCCCATCCTTCCCCTGTAATATCATCCGTTGCATTCTTCCTGATGTAACCAAGAAATGCTCAGGCATTTCTTACCTTCATTTATGCATGAACTATTGCATTAAGCCAACGTTACCTTTTTTGGACACCCTCTCCTTAGTTTCTCTAATCGTGTGCAGAGCCTTGCACTGTGGAGGGAAGATGTCAACCTAAATGTTGCCACTAAAATATTGCAAAAGGAAAAAAAGAATCAGTGGTGTGACATTTTTATTTTTCCAGTTAAATCAAGAATTCTGTAGTAGACTCAGGTTGGGGTGGGATTGCTATTTCAAACACTGGAACAGTGGTTAAAAGTAATAATTTAAAATAATTTACCAAACAATTGGTAAATCCTTTGCATGTTCTAGGAAGGTTTGCTTTAACAGAAATTCTGTTGTGTGTCAGGAGAGTTTGCAGTTAATTTCAGAAGTGCATTTCAATCAAAGAGCAAATGATCACAGTGAGATGCCCTCATGTCTCACTGCAGAGTTGTCACCCCTCAGCTTTGCCCTCATCCTGGGACAGATTGAGAAACTTTAAGTGAGCAACAAAGAACAGTACTGCCAAGTAGATATTAGAATGGATTCAGGTTATTCATACACATAGGAAGTGCAGTAACATTTCCTTTGTTATTACTGAGCATCGTTTGCTTGGCTTCAGCATCCTGAGTTGGAAAGCTCTGGCACTGATGCTGGTTGCAGGTGTGTGTTGTCCGGGGCTTCAGGAGCAGCTGTGCACGCTGCTGCACTGCATGAGTTCATGTTCAGTGTTTAGAACGTGTATTTCTGGCAAAGGCTATAGATGCCCATTTAATGTTTGCACTGTGTTGTGAGCAGCACTTGTGTTTTTTAATATCTTTTTGGTAAATACATCCATTTAGTTAAACAGAGGTTGAACAGTATTGGTAAGAATGTTTAATATTGAAAGCTTCTGTAGGCTTTTGGGAGGTAAAGAATTTCATGAAAAATTACTTTGTCTGTGATGGTTTTATTTTTTTTTTTTCCTACCACCACCACATTTTTTACACTTGAGGTTATAAAATTTGAGGTTATTACTCCACAGTTTCTGCTAAGAGCGTTCCCATCAGATGCTGTTGGAGCAGAAGGAACTCAGCCTCCTGCCCATTTTATTCAAACAAAGTTCTCCGGCACTCTTGAGGGGCAGTTCTTATTATTTATACAGCATTATGTTAAATGTACTTGGAAATTAAAATCAGGTACTCCGAAGGCTATTGCCAAAGTACCATTCTTGCAAAGAAATGATGTGGTTTTTTCCTCCCAAGTCTTCTGACATATGAGGATAGCTCTGAATTTAAAATAAAAATAATTAAAATGGGTTTGAAAAAAGAAGCAACGCCTAAAAGCAAAATAAAAAAATATGATCAGGTATCCCTCATACCCTCTTCTGTTCCATCTGTATCCTTAATTTGTTGGGTTTTTTTTTTTTTGGATGTAGAGGAAACACATTCTTACATATTCTTATTCAGGCAAGGTGGGGGAGGAATTGCCATGCAATTCTTCTTTTAGATTTAAAAAATATAAATTTCAATCTAAATGAATGAAAAAAGAACCCTAGTGTTTTTAGTAGAGCCAGGAACATGAGGAAGCTGGTTGAAACTGCAGAATGTAGAGAACTCCATCTTTTTGCAACGCCGGCTCTGAACACAGCCTTTCTGTGTTTTGGAACCATCGTTGTTTCTGAAATCTCTGTGCTCCAGCTGGACGCTGTGCTGCTGGGATGGATGTGCACTGAGGGACTGAGAAGGAAAGCTTGAGTGTGCTGCAGTGGAGCAAACATAGCTGGCTCCTGGAACTGATTCATCATGAGCATTAAGAAAAAAAAAAAAGGAAAGAAGCAAAGCTGAGCTTGCTTAACATGTAAGCCAATAAAAACAAAACTGAATCAAGAGTCAGCACAAGGCCCATGAGTGTAACTCATGTAGGTGCAAAAGAAATTTAACTGAGAGAATAATTGTAACCAGCAGAGGACAGAAGGAAATTGGAAGAATGGAGGCAACACTTCACTGCGTCCCATCCGTGCATTTCCTTTGCCCTCCTTACCGTAGCACATCCTGCTGTGCCTGCAGTGAAGTGCCTGCACTCCCAGCCCTGGGCTCTTCATGTGTGACTTCGCTGATGTATTATGTACTTCAGGAGTAAGTGCTGCTTATTTCTGCTTTGCTAGTTCTAGATGTTGGAGTCAGAATGACAGGGGAGGTTCAGGTTGGATGTCAGGACTTTGGGTTCTTCCCCCAAGGGTGGTGGGCATGGAACAGGCTGCCCAGGGCAGTGGGTGCAGCCCTGAGTGCTGGAGTCCAAGGAGTGTCTGGACACCACTCAGACATTGGGTTTGCATTTTGGGTTACCACTGTGGAACTGGGAGTTGGACTCCATGATCCTTGTGGGCCCCTTCCAATTGGGATGTCCTGTGATTTATTGTGGGGAAAGGATGAACCTGTGTTTTGATTTCAAACGAAGTGAATGACCTGCAGAACTCTTGGATTTTGTTTTGTTATCCCACTTTTTGTTTCTGAAAGTCCGGACTGGGGCAAAGTATTCAGCTTTGTCAACAGAGTGCTGTGAAATTCTAAAAATGGTAAAACCCAGTTTGCTATGAAATGTGAGATTCCTTTGTGTAATGCAGTGAATTCAGCTAACCGAGGAAGCTAACTTTTATGCGTTTTGGTTTTTGTTGTTTTGGTCGTGGTTTTCTTATTGCATGACTTATTGAGTATGAGGTGGATCAGTTTTCTACACCGTGCATCAGTAACAGCATTTTAATGCACCCGCAGCTATGTTTATCTAGCCATCTCATAGTATCTTACAGACTTGACTAAATCAGATTCCATTTTGTTTGCATTTTTGAATGTAATTATCTTTAAAACTTGTGTACACAGCAAAAGCCGCTTTAATAATACTCTAAAATTTGGAGGAAAGTAGACAAAGCATTTTATTTGCTTTACCCACAGATTCACTTCCTGTCATTGCAGGGCTCATGCTTATTCCCTCTGAAATCTTAAGTGGACGTTACCTGTCTTTTCACTATTGATTTTGCTGCTGACAGCTTTAAAAACAAGTATCCTCCAGTTATGTGTGCTTCAGATTCCTTTGTGTTTGGGGGAGAAAAATATGTAGTTTTCCAGAAGTGGCTGCTATTCCTGCTTTATTTATTTAATTGTTAATGTTTAATAAGTGTTAATATTAACAGAGCAAGTAAGTTAGCAGCGCAGCATGATGTTCTCCTGTACGACCTGTTGCAAAATGAGTAATTATTTAGATTTTTAAGGACTGTTGGACTTACGATCAAAGCTTCATCATAACCAGGCAGAGCATTTGCTGAGCTGAAGCCATACGTTGCTGGAACTCCTTTGGTATCTGCAGGGTGAATGCTAAAAGGTTCCTGTGGGTTGGGCAGACTTGGGGAGGTGTCCTTAGCTGCCCAGTGGTGGCAGGAGAGGGAATGCCAAAGCTCAGGTGGCTGGGGTATGCTTTGTATTAAGCATCATTCAGACAAAGGGGTGCAAAGGATGGCTCCATGAACATTCTTGACCCTCAGAAAGACTGCATTCCCCCTCAGCATTTCTTACCTTCTAGAAATAGCATTTGTGGGGCGGGTCTTAGATGTGGGTTTATGCTGCAAACCTCAGAGGTACCTTTTGCTGGGAATTGCTCCTGTTCTCTAACAGACAGTGGGAATGCTGTGTGCGTACATGACTGCTCAGCAGTGGTGCGGTATTTGGCTTATATATTTTCAGGGCTTTAAAAAATGTGCTGAAGACCATTTGTGGGCTGGTTACCTGAGGTCACCTGGTTTATGGTGGCAGGGGTATGTGTTATTACCTCCCAGAGATATGTAGTATGCATCCTTGTTTTCTGTCATGGTGTCTTGTTCTTGGTCTGTGTGGTTGTACTCCTCACTTGGCGTAGGGCTTGGAAAATTCTCCCTCTCTTGAACTTTTTCTAAGTAGGAAGGAGTGGGAAGCTGGGGAGGATGTTGCTGCCACTTTTCAGCCTGCAGTGAATTTGTCCACTGAGCCACTTTCCTAAGCGTTCCTCGATTCTCCTTTCTACTGTCATAAAGCAGCTGAAGAAAACCCTGCATCCTCTTTTGTCCTGAACTGCTCAGTGATTTTAGTCTTGATTTCATGTTTTTGAATTGAAATCCTTTCGATCTTGATTCAACTGCAGCAATTATAATCAACAGACATGGGAACAAAATATGCAACAACGTGTGAAGAAGAATTGACTGGGAAGGCTCAGACCTTTGCAATGACATTTTCCCAGGGGCAGGCAGTGCAGCTGAGATCATCATATCTGACCTCCAGTTGCTTCTGTCCTGCATGTCACAGCTGGCCTGAACTTCTGGTATTAACGTTATGCCGCAATTCCTTAATTTATCCCAGCCATCCCTGAAGTCATTTGCATTAAGTCTGAAAGTTTCCTTTTAGTTGCTTGCAGTTAATTTCTCTGTGCGCATTGAGTGTGCCCTCATTTAGTGAAGAAGGGAGTTATATAAACTCATGAGCTAACTTTTATATGGACGTTTAATGTATGATGACACTGCCATTATTTATTCATAGGTGCCAACTGCCCTGTGTCACGGCACATTCCTGCTTTATAGCAAAATGACTGTTTTCCTCTTGACTCCTCTCATGGGGTATGCATTAAGTGTATTTCTGAACTTCATTTATTTGCTCTTTTTCCTGAGTGGTTCTTGTGTTTTTGGCATTTAAAAATTTGCAAATGTTTGTTAACATTACTCTGTTGTGAAGACAAAGCATGCAGGAATCTCTTGAGATGAGAACACGGCCTTGTAGGTCATGTTAAAATGCTTGCTGGAAGTGAGTTGGAGCAAGCGAGGAGAGCAATGCAAGCGTGCCTTACAAATGTGTTGGCAGGAGATGAGGGTTCTTCATTATGCTGTCCACCATAGCTGCCTGAGCCTGGCAAAACATTTCTGTAGGGTATGTGTATGGCTCTTCAGGCAAATAATGAGTAGGGTTTAACGCCCCTTGAAGCACAGGGTGAGCCTGGGTGGAGGCGGGGGGCACTTTCTCCTGACTGCAGGGCTGCTGGAGCCAGAACCAATTACGTGATTGCACGTTTATCTTGGCCTTTGAGGAGTCTCTTTTGGATTTAGTCTGTAATCAAAAGGGAATGCATGAAACAGAAGTCTCAAATAACCTTTCCCTGATCCCATTTCTCCTTTAAGATTTGAAACAGGAAAAAGTTATGAAGACAGCAATAACCTAAAGCTAAATTTGAGTTAATGGCACAAAAACCTGTGCTTATCTTGTGGTGACTGATGTGTTGAGAAAATTTGAGCAGTGAGTTGTCGTCTGAGGACAAACTATGTCTTTCAGAGTTCAGCAGAAACAATGAGTTTATCTTTTAATGGATGCAGATCTATTAGTAATGGTGTTGTCTTCTTTTTCCCTTTTTTCCTTTTCTTTTCTGAATACTTGTGTATCTGCCCTTCCCTCTGCTCTCTCTGGCTAACCCAGGCCCCATCCCTATAATTTAGTCTCTTCAGGCCTCCCAGTGTGGGACAAAAACCCCAAGCCTCTGAAGTGATTGCAGTGGTGGTGGTTTGTGCCTTTTCCCCCAGACTCTTCTGCTGCTGGTTAGAACACACTGATGTTTACTTCTGGCCTGAGGCCCTCTCTCATTCTCTTGTTTTGCCTGCAGAAGTGGCCAGGAGGGCAGAGGGGTGTGGGGGCAGAGCACATGCAAGGACAGCAGTGTGGCTGGCACAGGGACCGGGCTTCAGCCCATTGCAGGTGTGAAAAGCATTTCTCATTTTACTCAGCTGGCACGACATTCAGCTGTGGATAATCCCGGTTGCAGAATTTGCACTCACAGGTTAGGGTTGTGGGCATGTCTTACTCAGGGGGCACCCCTGTCCACACATCTGCTCTCTGGCTGTTTGCTTCTCCCTGCATGGTTCTTTCAGTAATTGCCCTCAGGCCTTTCTTGTTTTGGACGCATTCAAATAAAACTGCCTTCAAATACAGCTTTACTTCTCACATTCTTTGGGTCCCTAAGTCCTAAAATCCCAAAGCAGAAAACAAGTGGGATTTTTCTTTTTTTACCATTTTTGATCATGATAATGTTGTGAATCAAAGTGCGGGCATCTTTTCCACTGTGGCCCAGGTCCAGCTATCTGCAAACATAGATACATATGCAACTCTTTCTGATGTTTCTCATTCATATACTGATCTTAATTATTTCAGTTCAGTATTTTTCTTTTGAACGTAAGTATGAAAACTTAAGAACAGATTTTACTTTCTGATGGAAACAGTAGTAATATTGAAGATTGGTGTTTTTACTTCAAATTGTGCTTTCGGAAAGTTGGTGTTGAAGGAAGCTCTCCTAAGCATGAGGATTCAGTCATGGGAACAGGCTGCCCAGGAAAATGGTGAAGTCCCCATTCCTGGAGGTATTTTAGAGATGTGTAGATGTGTTACCGAGGGACATGGTTTAGTGATGGCACTCAGCAGGGCATGCTGATGGTTGGACTTGGTGATCTTGGGGGTATTCTCCAACCAAGATGAATATATGATTCTGTTCCTCATTATTATGTCTAAAATATTTATCTTCTCTCAAATTATAAATTTTTTATGTTATTTTTTGCTATATATTATATTTCTGGATAGGATGAGAAGTACATTCCTAGTGTCAAAATGTACGTGCTGTTTAAAAACAGAAAGAAATCCTACAAAATAGGAAGGGTGGAAAAAGTGCAAGTCAACCAGCAACATAAAATGTTACTGGGGCTAAATTTTACTACTCAGTGCAAACCTCCTGATGAAATCCATGCATGCGAACTTGGAACAGAAGTTTGGCCTGGCCCAGAGCGTTGCTGTGAGTCAGTGTCTGATTCATGACAGCCGGGAGAACATAATCCCTCTTCCTCCAGTACCCAGTGCGTGTGCAGCATTCGTCCCCCACCTACTTTATGGTCGTGCAATCTCTTACATGTTCTTGTATAAACAGTCTGTTTTTTAAATTGAGAACTAAATGAAGCGGTTTCTTGCCTCTCTCTTGTGTTTGCACTGATACAGAAAAATCCAGCAAAACTTTGATTTTTTTTTTTTTTCCCTTTCTTGCTTCATTTTGAAGGAGTGTGGGGCTTGCGAGTTGGAAATGCTTTCTGCTTGGAAGACAACAACGGCCTCCAGCCAGCTTTATCTTTAGCTTGCAGCCTGTAGATCTCACTCTGTCACACCAAAGTAAAGAAGTTCATGACCTCTCCATATCTGAAAAAGTTCACTAAATATAGACTGGGAGCTTTCTTGGGAATTCTCTCAGCAGTATCCCTCATAAAGCAACGGAGAAGCTGAATCCCCCGGTAATGTGGGAGGTATCGGTTATAAGTGACTTGTATGTGGGGTTGGCCTGTGCCCTGTGCTGTGGGGCTTTCATCTGTGCACGACCGTGAGTTCCTTACATGCCTGTAGCAGAAAGCATGTGAAAGCAGCCATAAGGCTTTCTGGTGAAATGAAGGATTCTCTGCTAGAAAGCAAGCAGTCGGTACTGGAAAATGGCAATGCATCTTCAGGCTCTGGAAAATGCTTTCCTTTTTCTTAGCGTTTTCAGTTTCAAATGTACATTAGTTGTGACAGTTTTTTTTTCTTGTCTGTTTTCTCTACTGAGTTAAATAGAGCACAGAAGACAAGTCAGAGAATTCAAATTTTTGTGGCGATTTCCTCTTTAAGAACAATATTTTTAGTTTAAAGGATTGGAGAGTGGATTTTATGTATGCAAGGAGATGGTTTTGCAGCTTGCAAGCTTCTGTCACTTCGGACATCTTGCTGTTTAAGAAAGCATGTGGGGTTTTTAAAAATAAATATATTTTTATCCGTTATTGAAACCCTCACTGTATTTTTAGCAGTGTTGTTGCTATTAATGTAGAGGAGAAGAGACACAACAAATGACTGCTGGTTGCTAGGGATTAACTTGCGAAGTTGAATTAATTCATTTGAAGTGTTTTGCAAAAATACGTAGATGAAGGTTGTGGTTAGATGAAATGGTTTAAAACTCTCGTTAGCTTGATGTAGTGCTGACTCGCGGACTGTGAACGTATGCTGTCTAACACACATGCTGAAACAGTCAGAAAGATGCTATTTTTTAATCTATTTCTATTTCAGCAAGCCCTTTTGTGCTATTCTGTGTGGTTACAGAACAGCAAGCAGTTTTTTTTCTTTAGTGGAGCCTACGTCACTATCATAATGCAAGTAACAATAGCAGTGGTTATGCTCTCATCACTGAGAGATAGCAGGAGATGCTAGTGCCATCCTGGGTCTCTGGTGTGGCACAAGTTGGAGAGAGCCCAGGTGAATAATAAAAACAGGTTTTCAGAAAAAAAGCCCTGTGAAGTTTTTAAGAACCTGTTTTTTCTAAGGCTCATTAGGGTTTGCTGTATGTTCTTCTTAGTCTCAAATGTACCGTGGTTATTTTAGAGGAGTTACTTAAAGTAGAAGCTGCAGTTCTTTTTTTTTTTTTTTTTTTAAAAAAAAAAGACAAAACTACTCAAACTTTTCTGTGAATGTTTGAGCTGTATGTAATTGAATATGCCCTGCTTTGATTTGTTTTTTTTTTTTTCTTATTCATCAGACCTATGTAAAAGTTACTGTTGGTATTTTGAAGCATTCTAAGAAATAAGTCTGTGGTTTTACTGAAAACATTTTCATGAAGACAGTTTCTCAAAGCGTGTAAGGATCCAGAACCTGGAAGTCTCAAACCCAGGTTTCATCAAGTAAAGAATACTTAATTCCTTAGTTGACTAGCAGAAGAGGAAAGACAATGAAATGGTTTTTAAAAGACTGGGAGATATAATTGCAGATAGAATATTGTGTTGCATTTTACTCTGCTTCCAGCATTATTACACTGCTTAGTTTTGAGTCATTTATCTCTATTTTCTGCCAAGGTTGACTATGCTATGAAAATGGGAATTTTTAACTTAGACTCATTATGAGTTAGGGCTGAGAACACCATTGTCATATCATTCTTACATTGGTCAAAGCTGTACAGGCAGAGATTATCTGAGCTAGAAAAATTAAGCTGCCTTTACAGTCACCTATGTGATAAACTCACTGTACAGCTGAGAAGACTTCAAGATTTACCTTTTTCTTTACTGGTTTTAATGTGGTTTTTTTTTTCTTTTTTTTTTTTTTTCCCCCTTTTCTGGCCAAGAAGACTAGCTGGTTTTGCCTCTCTCTTAATCAAGACTTCTGCTTTAATTTTGACAAGTGCAAACTTGCTGCTATGAGATTTAAGCAATTTTGGAAAAGGTGCAATGGGTTAGAAGTCAGTGCCCTGCTCTTAGCTGCTCCCCTTTGCTATAGGTGACAATGAGAAGATAACTAAGGAAGTAAAATGAGGTTTTCAATGCTAAGCCCCATCTTCTTCCATTAATGAATTCATTTTTAGGGTTTAATGTAGTAATGCAGCTACATTTGTGAGGGTATCGTGAGGTAAATTTGGAAGGAACATCAGCGGAGTGATTGTGGTGTAGTAAATGGAAAACATATGCTTTATATGCCTTTAAATAGTGTGCAGGGTTTTTTCCCCAATAGTTGTCATCTGTGTTTGCTTTAATATCTTGGAAGTGCCCTCTGTTACTACTGTTGGCCAGCTATGGAAGTGATGGTGAGCTGCTCATAAATGCAGATGATGAAGGAGAAGAACAGGTTGGGAGAAGGGAAAGGAGGAACAGGGACGTTGTGGTGCACCTGACAACCTCAGAGGCCAGGTGATTTTTGGCATAAATGGAATTCTGCAACCATAAATGAGGTTGAGGAAAATGAGAAGACTTGGAAAGTGAGGCCAGTAAGGGTAGAGCCACTGGTGCGATAAGGGCTGAGGGCAAGACAAGGAGTTAGGGTTCTCCTGTTGTAAACTCTCTTCACTACTTATGGAGTGGGAGTTTCTGTTGATTAAACTGGAGCGTAGGTGAGAGCTTAGGTATACCTGAGCTCAAGTATTGAATTGAAAAAGGAGTACTGCAGGTTTGAGAGGAAGAACTGTAAGCAATGACGTTAAAACTAAGTATGGGCTTAAATTGAAACAGTGGGAAAAGTGAAATGTGGAGTAGGTAGCACTCAGCGTTAGTTCTGTCTTTATTTTTCCCCTGAAGTCTCCAGCCCACCGTGTGCTTATTATGCTTAATCATAGAAGGTGATAATAGCCTGCAACATGGTCAGACAGTTATAATACAGTCATAGTAATCCTAAGGCTACCTTAGGGTATTTTTATTTATTTATATTGGTAAGCCTTTATCTATAGAAGTTACAAACACTTTCGAAAAAAAAGGCAAATAATCCTAGAGACTATTAATTTGAAGAGTTGGGAGGTAAGGTGCTTTTTCTCCTTCACCTATTCCTGGTGCCCTACCTCATAGTTCCTGCTCTGGATTGGTATCGTTCAGAACCTTGAATTCAAATAGATTGTCAGATGGGTTTTATTTGACATAAAAATAATGATGAATATAATAGTTGCACAGTGATTGTACTGGAGGCTTCAGACAAATGCTAAGAGTGTCCAGAATTGGATGAGTGCACTTCAGTACATGCTTTAAGAGAGTGTTGAAGTGTCCAAACTGCTTCAAAATATTGAGCAGTTTGGAAAAATAATAGCTAAATATTGTTGTTAAAATTTCCCCCTTGAGATGAAAATAAGGCTTGTTTTGGTTAAAATGTCTTGAAAAGTATTCAACAGATAGATTAACACGCTGCTCTGATTATTTCCACATTTCCAGCTAGCAGCTTCAGAAACAAGGGTCTCAGTGTGTCTGACCTCCAAGCCCTCATGTGGGTGTGCACACACGTGTGTTAGCAAAGCTTCTCCTCTGGTTGTTGCAGGTACAATAGCGGGTGCTTCTGTGTGGGCCCTCATGTCAGCCTGCTCTGGGCACGCAGAAAGCTGGCTGTTGTGTTAGCCATAGTCTCTACACAGCGGTGGAGGATGAAGGAAGGGAAGATGCTGGCATTTGCCTTGCCATGCAAATGGTGGCGAGGTCATTCTGGACTTGGAAGCAGCTTTTTAGCGCACACTGGAAACTCCTAAAGCCTCCAGTCCCCCACTTAGTTACTAGCAGCGAGCGCAGAAGTTAGGCCACTTGGCAGGGCAAGGGCAGGTGCTTTCCTATATTGCTCTGTAGAGACAATGTGTTGATTCATACCTTCCTAGAGCACATTTACCCTTATTATTGAACACGCAGCACTGTATGAGGGCTTTATTTATATCATTTACATAGTTGCCCATTGACTAATCGTGGTTCTGCTCTCAGTATGAAATCCTTTCACTTGAACAATTAATAAAGCTCTAAATGCTATCAGAAATGTAAGATACCATAGCTGACCTAAACAGCGATAAACTGTCCTGTGATTCCCATAACTTGTGCATTCCTTCCCCGTGGTTCAGCGAAGCTGTTTATACTGCAAAGTCCTACCCACCACGCTTTGACTTTGAAGCTTCCAGAGAAGTAAAGTCATCAGAGAGGGATGTTTTGTATTTTTCACTGACTTCATGGTTTACAGGCTGTTGGAAATGTGAGTCTCTGTTTGTAGTAATGGACTTGCAACTCTCCATGTGTATTAATCATCATATTCACATACTGCAGGATTAATTGACTCTGCTCACTCAGGAGCATGTATCAAAATTTGTTGTTTCCATCTTTCATGGCATTTGATATTAATGTCCCCAGATGAAAATCTTCTTTCCAGTACATTTCTAAAATTTATTATTTAATCTCATGCTGGATGTCATTTGGGTAGGAAACTGTATTTCTTCCCTGACCATTCTTCCCTTGAAGGAAGGATTTGGTCAGACTCAGAATTTTTTTTCTAATGCTTAATAAACATCAATCAATCATGCACATCAATCTACATCATCTATATCTGTATATAAGTCACACACATATTCCAATAAAAAACATTATTCCAGTCTGAAACTGGTGCTGATTTCAAAGACCTTTCATTGTGGATGAAAACCAATGGAAGCTTAAATCCAAGCGATGCTGTAATGATAGATGGATGAGAGATAAGCTCTTAGGAGAAACAGAAATCACTTCTTTCTTCCTTCAGATTCACTCATGGGTCAGTTGTCAGGCTGCAGGCCCAAGTTGTTCTGCATTTTTTCACTAGCATTGCCCAAATTCTGATGCCTCTGCACGGAAGATTGTGTGCCAGTTAGTCAGTACATGATGTTGCGTGTTTGTGAATTTTGGACCTAGTTGCCGTATTTCATATCTGTAATCTGAAGGTAATAATAATAGTAATAAAATGTTACTGTTAAACTGTTTTGTTGCATTATTACTTGTGTTTGCTATACACTACAGCGAAATACTGTGAAAAGGACAAATTGTTCTTATCCCTCTTGTGGATTTGGCACACTTGGCTGTGGCAGTGCTGGGACTGAGATCTAGGGCTTTCCTACAGAGGAATAAATCCCATATAAAAGTTACCTTGCAGTTCAAGCAAAACATTATGAAGTGCTCACACCATGGAGGATTTCATAGACCCACTCAATATATTTTTCTTCATTATTTTATTTTTTCCCTAGTTAACATGAACTTGCACAGCAGAAACAAATAGTACTGAGGGTAAAATACAAAACAAAACACAAGTGTTCCTCTTTGACAAGCAAATGTAAAGGTTTAAACATTTACTGAATCTGAAACCACGTGCATTCTAATGGCGCGCTGCCCTGTGCGTTCTTCTGGCTGCAGAAAAAGCTTTTCCCTTGTGCCCGCCCAGGTTCTGCGAGCCGGCCCTGTCCTGTGGCACGGCACCTCCTGGTGGCTGCTGGGCTGTGTGGGGAGCGGTGTCGCCTCAGAGCTTCGAGTTGACACCATCAGCACTTCCAAGCTTGGGATGGCCAATGGCCCGCTGTCCAGCCACCTATGGAAAGGAGGGGACCGGCTGGGGACCAGGGCACGAGCAGGAGGCAGGGTTGTGTCCTTCTGCTCTGCGTGCTTGGACCACAGCTAGGTGCTGCAGCTAGGGCTGTGGCCACCCAAGGTCTCTTCCAGCCCAAACTGTCCCAGGATGGTACGTTACCAGCAGTGTGTTGATTGATACTTAACAGATAGGGGGAGGCTGATTTAAGTTAATGGTGTAATTTCTCATGGCTTGGTAAGCCTTAGCTTCCCCAGATTATCTGGAACTAAACAAAATTAAAAAATAAAATCTCGACTTCTGTGATGCTTGAGCTAACACACCAATAGGAAGGATTACATATCTTAAGATGTAGACTTTTCTACATCAACTTTTAAGATGTATGACTTTTCTAGGAAGTCATAGGGTAGAAAAACAAGAGTATTTCTAGGGTTCCTCTACAGTACATCTGTAGCTGTTTTGCTGGTAGGCTCAGGAAATCGCTGAGTGCACTTTTATTTCAGAAGAGTAAGAGATTCATCTGTATTGAAAGTAAATGTGAACTGCATGATGGCTAACAGCTGAAGTAAATTCACCACTTTTAATAGCAAACTTTTGTTGTTTGGAGCAAGATCCAGTAGTTCTTTGATGTTTTGTACTCTAGTAGTAATGCAACACAGGTCAATATGTAGTAGTGTTCCAATGATTTACCATGTTATTTAGTGTTTTTGGAGATACTTTATTTTTCAAGTGCTCTAATAATTGGCTCAATATTTTGGGTATCAGGCTATTATTATCAGACTGAGGACTGAACCTGATAATGCAGTGTCATAACTTTTTAAGTAAATGACTGTTGCTGTTAAGAGTGTACATGTAGGATGCATGCAAAAGCTAACGTTGCTTTCCACTTCATAAAGTCTCTTTCCAACATTTCATTGTCTCAGGAAGAGTGATACTAGCCAGATGTTCAGATATTATCTTGAATGGAAAGTAAAGTAAAAGCCCTTTTAGTGAGGCTGGAAACATTTTGGTCAATATAAAAATGGAACAGGATTCTGCAGTGATCAGATCTGCAAGTTTTCCTCTTTCGTAAGTGGTTCATATGCAGAATTATTTGTGTAATTCTCGGTTGAAGACATTATATGTATACTTAATGATTCCATGATTCTGTGTTTGAAAAAACTGAATCTCTGACCAAAGATTCTTTTAAAGGCATGATAAGTAACCTTCCTTGGTGACGTTCTTGTTGTACAAAATACTGCTAAATTTACTTGGTACATCCCGAGTCCAAAGAGCAATTTTATGAGTTAAGGAACAAAAAGATGAAAAGGGTGAAGCTTATCTTCTAGCGTACAGTGTTCAGCTGTTTTCTGTACTCTTTTCATAGCTCTGCTTTACTTTGTTTTGTGGGGCACAGGGCAAGGTAGAGCAAACATACTCCAGAACTGGGAGGAAAGCAGTGACTGCAAGTGGAGTGCCATCGGGAAAGAAAGAGGTAGCTCAGCTTAGCCTGGCAACTCTAGTTGCAGGTATCTGGTGCCTTCTGAGGCATATTGGAGTACTTTCAGTAATGTCAAGTATTTTGCAGGCTTGTGCTCTGGCAGGGTTGGTAAGCATACTTATGTTGAAAATCACTGCAAACTGCCCGTGGCACAGTGTCAACATATCTGAGAGAATGCTATTGTCTTCAGAGCTGCTTTTTCCCTTCCCATCTGCTGCATGTGTTACACAGGAGGTCTTTGTGTCGGAGATTCCAGGAGGTCTGTGATGGGGATGAGATGCAGTGCAAACCCAGGTATTTGCCCTCTTTGCTGAGCCACAGGGCTGCACAAGGTGATGGAGCTCAGCTCACATTAAAAACGATCTTGGCTTTTCCTTGGCACCTGGAAGCTTGTTTTGACGGTTCCCTCCTCCAGTAAAGTGCTAGACAGGGAAATGAATGAATTTGTTGGCAAATTTTCAGACACATTCGTTTTTTATTAACCATTATTTTCCTTTCAGCCTGTGGTAACATGCCCGAGTGCCATATGCTGCTGAACAGACAGGTCCGGTCCGCGCCTGAGCTGGGTTATTGACTTAGTTTTGATCTGTGCATAATCTTTTGCCTCAAAAACTCTATCTGTTCTCAGAATACTCAGACACACACATTTTGATGTACTCTCAAGTTCCAGGTGATTTTAAGCAGAAACCAGAAATTCATCCTTACTTTCCCTTTATCTCTTCGTTTATGAAGGAAATGCTGCACGGAATGTTTTGGAGCTGCCCCTGCAGCTCCGCACTCGTTGTGCACAACTGTCTAGTTGGCCCTGTTTTTTTAAAAATTCTCTATGGAGCTATGTAATGAAAAAGGGCTTAAAGCTGAAAAGCTCTTAATGTACCCAGATTGAAATCACCTCCGCTTTAGGAAGATGGTAGCAAGTAGACTCAGGGAGCCATGGTGAGCTCAGCATGACAGACAGCCCACTTCCCCAGGTTCTGTTGCAGATTCATCCCGACCAGATTGGTGAATAAAGGTGTATGTGGAAGACATCTGGTTAACATGAATTCTAGCTGTGTAACAAGTGGCAATGGCAGTTGGTGCGCGCCTAGCTGAGGTGAGCAAACACCCTGGGCGGGAAGGCCCTGCCGGGGAGCGGCTCCCTGCTCGCAGCGCTCCCTGCTCACAGCACTCCCTGCTCGCAGCGCTCCCTGCTGGGCAGCTCTGGGCAGGCGGGAGCCGAACGTGAGGTACTGCCCTGCAATGCTAGGCAGATACAGAACTTGGGGTGCTCTGGGGCACCCTCGTGGTATGGCAGGAGAAATTACATGGCAGAAATGGCAGTTGCATGGTGGCATGTAGGAACACCACCGCATCATAAGGTGGATGTTTTAGGAGGCTGGTTTTCTGCTTACTGTTACACGTGAGGGCTGCTCTAAAAGTAACGCCTCCTGTTTTATTATTTTGGCCCACGAACTCAGTTGGTAGTATGACAGTAGAAGCTGAACCTTCCCACTAACACTCCACTACATTTTGTTGCCGTGTGACAGATGGCGGGAGAGGGGCAGTCTGACAATATGGCGTCTGACATAGATGTATGAAGCGTAAGTGCGGAACTGAATTCCTCCAAGTGGAAAAGATGGCACCCACTGACATTCATTGGCACCTGCTGAACATTGATGGAGACCAGACAGTGGATGTGAGCATAGTGAGGTGGTGGATGGTGTGTTTCTGGGTGTATTTCTGCAGTGTTGACGCTGACAGTGGGTCACCTCCACTGGTGCAGACATTTACAAGCATGGCACGCAAGCTCTTGTTCATCCCTGGTCAAATACGTAGCTCATGATGGTGACTGCACTGAGAAACAGTGTTTTGTAGCTGAGAATTTGCTCTATCAACTAGTGTGATTGTGCTCTTTGTATCTTTTGTAGTATCCATGGAAATAAATCGGAGGCATTACTTTCAGAGTGACTTTTGTAGATTGCTTTTTCCAGTGAAGTTTATGGTACTCTCTTCTATGGCATGGACAAAATATTTCAAAGGACAAGCTTCTTTATTGTAACTTACGATGTTAAACATATATTTTTGGAAAGGGTACGTTTGCAAAAACTAATACACATTTAGAAATAAGAAGCTTAAGAAATCTGTTTGTGCCATTAGTTAAGAACAAATTATAGTTTCCATTCCTGTTTCTAGATATTGTTTTCCACATGTGGTCCTTGTTTCTACGATGTGGGAACATAACGTTGTTAACTACAGAACACTGAATGATGTTACTTAAACTAATGGCTTTCTCAGTTTTTCCTTTGTGCTTTTTACAAGTCGTGTTATATGGAATAAACAGAATATGAATGACTGCATTTTTACTAGCTTTGCTAAACTGTTCTTGCTTCCACTCTGTGTTAGTGTTCACTTAGCAAATATTTATCTTCCATTATAGAGGACTTTGGAGCAGAAAATGTGGTGCTCATGATTTTAAATTTTAAGTACCTTTATAATCACCGTCAAGTAGAATAGTTAGATGGGTGTGCACAGGAAACAGGAGATCTGACTTGCTTAGACTTGAGCTGAGTGATGCAATATTTAAATGAAGATGCTATAAATCAGGTTTAGCATTACTTATGTCCTTTTATTCGATGAAGTGAACTTGCTAGTTCTTCTACATGCACTAGTGACAAAGACATTTATACACCTTTTATGAAATGTTACACATTGCTAATTTACACATTGATAGAGCAGTGTAGTTATGAGTTTTCTATCAAAGTATGCTTTGATACCTCTAAATGCATTGCAAATTTGTAGACCTTTTGTAGGCAATCACGAGAAGGGTGAAAGAGGTTATAAACATGGCTTTATTTTGTTGACAAAATGTGGAAACCTATTGTAATATCCAAACTCAGGTTTTGAAACTGCAGCAAAATTTTCATGTCTGTGATAATGTTTTCTTTAACCAGAAAAATTCTGAAGCAGATTTGATGAAAAAAGTCTCTCTATATACACGCACATTAAATTTTGTTTAGCATTTTTTTCGTCTTTGCAGAAATTGACATTTCTATCTTCTGGACTTAATGTCCTTTGTACTCTTTATGTTTTGTAACTAGCAGGCATTTTCCTTCTCAGTCCTGCAAGCATCTCTTCCCATGTGCTGTAAGCAGACAGCTTCTCTGAGTTACCGTTGGAGCAAGTCCTCTGTTCATGAGACTTCATTTGGGGCTCTGCACAGTCACCAGGAAACAGTGACCCTGGAAGTCCCTGAGGTGTCCTGAAGGACTCTTGTTGGAGCTGTCTGCCTCACAGATGAAGTAACTCTAGTAAACTCTGTTTGGTGCCAATTTCCACATTATGAATCACTAACTGTTTGAAGCCAAAACAGTAATTTTGACTGCTTCAGAAATTGTTTGAGGACTGCATTACTACCTTCACATGGGAAATTCTGAATATCTGTTTAATGACTGCAGTGGAGGAAATACGACTTGACCATGCCATGAATACTGTAAAATCAGTTTAGTAGTGCTTGAATTCAAGTCAGTGCTGATCTTGGTTCAGTTTCTTTTGCATTTAGCAAATAGACCATATAAGCTGTTTCTTATGCAATGTGTTTGTTGTAGACAGAGTATGGACCAGGAATTTCAGTTTGAGCATTTGTGCAGTTTATGTTTCCATCTTGTTTGCGCAGTAATTACATAGAATTAAGCTTGAAAATTTGGGATTGTGTATAGGACTTTATTAATGCAGTAAAATCACTCGTTGTTATTTTTTGGGGGGAAGAGGGGTGAGAGATGGGTAGGGGGGAAGGTGGTGCGGGGAGCAAGGCATAACTAATCTTTACAGCACGTGATTTTTTCACTCCTTGCTAGAACTCTTCCCAAGCCTCCCCCTCCAAGTCTTTGATTTATGGGAAAATTTTAATGGAGGAAAAGGGCCTCAAGAGAAGGACTGCTCTGTGAAGTTTGGAGAAGGCTTTAATGAAAAGTTTCATTGTTATTTCATATTTACTTACCAAATCCTGCCAGAGTAAATTCTTGCCAAACTAGTTTTATATATTTCTTGTCTGGTCTTGCTAACTTACTGTTTTGTATCAGGCCCTCGTCAAACAGGAAAAGCAACCGGAGTAGTTCAGGTTACGGCACAACAAATAGGTAATGCAGAAAAAATGAATCTAAAACTTCTTATGTAATATCGAGAAACTTTTAAAGGAACTAATTAGCAAAAGTGATGCAGCTTTTATCAAAGCTATTTTTAATGCAGATTGAACATGCTGAAATAGCACAATAGTGCTTTAGAAGTGGGCGTTCCTACTATTGATACCGTAATCATGCACGTTTCCTTATGTTTGCCTTGGAGGTGGGAAGTACTTATGGTAGAAAGGAAAAAAAAAAATAGCAGACAGGAATATTAAAGTTCTATCTTGAGTTTGTGTGTTGTTTGTTTTGATGGATTTTCTGAGCTGGATTAATTAGCAGTGGGAATGTGAATCAAGACCATAAGATGTTTCCTAGCCTGTCAGTTCTTTTGTGCCTTCAAAGCCTGGGCGTTCATAACTGTGTCTCAGGGTTTGGTCGAAGTACCAGAGAGAGGAGTTTTCTGTAATGGGCTAGAGCATGGAGAAAGGTGTCTTTCCTTTTAGTCTTAGAGCAGAATTTACAAAGGCATGTCTTTAGTGCATTTTGCTTGGGAACTTGTTCATTAATGGCCTTTGAAGTTTCTTAAGCATCTTGGAGTTCCGCTGTATGTGCGATAATGCCAATAATGTAGTATTGTTTTAAATTATTTCTGAATTTTTACTTTACAAAAGTGGATGGTGAGTTTAATTTCAGAAATCTCTTGTTTATTGAATGCTAAATGAAATTATGATATCTGATGGGGATAATTAACAGCTGTATTTTAGTTAATTTCCTCAGGTAGAAATGAGGCAAGTTTCATGGTTATCACATTTCTCCAAAACCGTTCATCTATACAAACGTATCACATACAAAGTTTGGAAATAGACTTCTAGGACATTCCAAACAAAACAAACATCATTTGATGTTCTTCTGTGGAGCACATTGCCCAAAATTTCATGCAGCTTGTACTCCTGAGATTTAAAAATATGTTTGGATTTAAAGGATTTCTGGTTGGCCCTTTTCTTCTGCTGGTCTGTCCTTTAAGACATGGAATGTTGTGACTTCTAGACACTGATACCTGAAAAGAGGTTGATGCTAGTTACTATTTCTAGGAAGTGGGCACATTTTGCAAGATGTTGCAAGTTTGGAGGTCCTCAAATCAGTTGCTTTCTGCAGTTACGTCTGTTCTGTGAAAAGCAACAATGGTCTGCTCCTCTTTTTATGTTTAACGACAGCCCGGGGCATTGGCTTTGTTGAGGGGGAATATTTGAAAAGAAAGAAAAGATTATGTATCATGTTCAGGTTGTATGTTTATAGTACAACTTTTCCCTGTTGGAAAACAAACCTTTTAAGAATAGCAAGTTGAGTTCTAGTCAGCAGTCAGGTGATGGAAGATCATGCAGAAGACACTGTGGATGCTGTGTTGTTCTTTCAGTTATGACTTCCTTCTGTACTAAAAGTAATAGTGAAAACTATAAAGCTAGTCTTTCCAATTACTGGTGGGCATACATACATACATAAATATACACACGTATATAATTAAATCTTAATAAAATGCAAAGTGTTCCTTATACATAACTCAGATATCCTACTACCAACTCAGCAAGCACAGGTTGAAAGGTCTTTCATACAGTTTCATTTCATTTCAATATAGATTTCTATTCATAAGACAAGCTGTTAAACTTTTGCAGCTATTGTGTAGAAAAAAGAATCTACAAAGTAAGCAAACACACTTTGCAACATTCCTTTTTTTTTTTTTTCTTTCCCCCCCCCCTTACAATTTTGTGCCCATTGTCCACTGTCTGAGGTAGTTTATCTACAGAAGGATGTGTTTTCCTTTCATACAGTGCATAGAATTGGTAACACTGGGAACTTCTTTCTCTTGTGTGCTAGTGTTAGAATTGTGATCATCTTATCACGTGAAACCACATTCATCTAGAATGATTATTTGAAAAGAAATGCTTTGGCTTTATGTTTTAATTTACATTACTTTACAGAATTATGACCTAAATAGAAGTTTTAATGCTGAGCATTTTAGAACGTGATGATCATTGTATTAAATGGGATAAACTTTTTCTGTTGTGTTTCTGATCTCTGTTGTTTTCTTTTCCTCTCTTTGTGCAGGATCCAAACTATTGGATACAAGTACATCGGCTGGAGCATGGGGATGGTGGCATCTTGGATCTGGATGACATTCTCTGTGATGTTGCTGATGACAAAGACCGTGTAAGTACAAACAGCTATGAAAGAAGCTCAGTATGCACAATCAGGCCAGTTATTCTGTGTTTCCAGCACATGTCTGAAAATGCGAGTCAAACAATACAAAGGATTTATTTTTTAAAATTGTTTGCTTAACCAATGTGGGAAGTCTGTTATTGCTATGATTTGTCAGAGAGTAGAGGAATTATTTTATTAAAATAATGAGTTTTCCCTTCTCTTTGGTTCTGTAAAAGATGAAGTACAAAAATGAGCTGAAGTATCAATAATAATAATAAAAAAATTCAGAGGAACAATAATACAAAAAATTAAATAGAGAAGTTAAGCTTTGTGTTACCAGTTGAATATATGAAAAATACACTGTTTTCAAGCTGTGGAAGATTTTTCATAAATCTTTTTGGATATTGGTTCTACATATTTGGATAATTGCTGGATACACAGAACTTCAGAAAATAATTGTACATTGTTGGACCCTGTGTGTGCTTTTCCTCCTTTTTAAGTAGAGATTTAGATCACTATCAAGTAAGAGGTTTTTCTTTATTGGTTGATTGATTGAGGTTATAGATATTTTTGTCTTTGAACTATGTGTTCAAAAGGGTAAGGTAAGAAACACTGTGGTAAGCTGTAAAGGCTTATGTAAATACATCTCTTTTCTCTGCAAAGCTGCTCCTGTTTGCTGAAGCTCATGAGAGTGCCTGAGCCTGATGCTAACTTCAGCCTGGAAGTGTGCTTTAGGACCCTGCTCTCGTCACTGGAGAGTTCTTTAATTGCCTCTATTGGAAGTAACACACTCTCTAAATATCCTTGAAAAGAAGCCCAATGATGACTCTTAGGCTAATTTTTCAGAAGTTGATACTTTGCCTACAGATATTTCTTGTGACAAAACTTAATTGTCTTGGTTATTTCAACCAGGACTTCATAAAGAAAAAATAGGTGGGGAGTCTTGGGACATGAAGACTCCTTGCTGTCTGAAGTACAGAGTGGTATATAGTAACAGTGCTGAGTTTTCAGGAATTTCTTCAATAAAAATAGTGCCCAGCTAAGATTTCATGAAAAGCTAATTAAAACCTCCCGTTAGTTATCTCATATTCAAGGCCTCAAGTTGTGTGATTAGTTTAACTTTTGCTTATGGGCCTCGAGACTGGTGGAAGCTGTCACTAAATATGCAAATATATACAAACACACAAATCTCTACACAAGACTTATGAGTTATTTGAATCACACACTTCTTGGCTCCTCATGTGCTTCTTGCTTCAGAAGAAGTTTAAATTCTGGTGACTCGAAGACCTCATTTGTTGGCTGTTATCTCAGCTTACCGCCTTCAAGCAGGGTAATTCCTCCCAGTGAAACTCTGTGGGTGTTTATATGTGTGTGACTAATAGCTGAAAAGCTTTTGACTGCAACTGAAACAAGCAAAGTCATTATTGCAATATTGTTTTTGTGTACAGATGGACAAGATACCAGTAGTTGGTAGTATTTATTTCCAGATTTGCCAAGCTCATTTCCTCTGATTCTGTGAATCTGGCATGTCTCTGCGAGTAGCATCTATCAGTTATTATTATTATTTTTTTAAAGACCTTGTAGCATTGATTAGGAAAGTGCAATATAAACGTGTACTGTGCTGTATTGGCTTACATCCTTGAATTAATCATTCTCATTTGACCTTCACAATCTCTTCAAGCGTTTCAATCATTAGTCATTGTTTTTCAGTTTCCTATCTTACATTTTACATCTGACCTTCCTGGTTCCTTGCAGTTTTGAATTGTTAGCTTTACATTTTGTGCTTCCATGTCAAGTGTATCTGTGTTAGCAGGAGCCAGTACAAGTCTCATAACTGCAACGTCCAATTAGTAATATTTTATATATATATAAAATTTGGCACATCTTGTTTAAAAACTGATGACGTGTAAACATGTAAATTATCACTGAAGTCCATACAATTAGTTATAGTCAAAGTTAAATCATGGAATCATAGAATGGCTTGGGTTGAAAGGGACCCCAAGGATCATCAATTGCCAACCTCCCTGCTACAGGCAGGGCCACAAACCTCCAGAAAAGAGAAGCTGATAAAGCTTATAAATAGAAGCTTATAATTTTTTTTTCTTAATTGGGACAAAAATTTTCAGGATATTTTAAAACTAAACACTTAGTGTTCATTTTCACAAAGAAGGTCTTTATGTTCCTGGTGACAAAGTGGTTGTGTTGCTTATTATCTGTCGAGTATTTCTGACAGTCAGCTTGCTTTTACAGTTCTTTAGATGTATGCATCATTCCCACAGTGTAAAATACTAGAGTTTCTCTTTTTTATGTCACTTCTGTATCATGATTGTTTGTACAACATCTTATTAGCAAAAGATAGAATATGAAGCAACTAAGTCCTGTCCTGTTGATGAACTTCTTTCATAGTCAACTATATTAGTAAAACTCTTAAGTAATGTGAGGAATATTCCACTGTCTCCATGGAGAAAATTTTCTAACCTATAACAAATACAAAGATCCTTTGAGACAGCAGCTGTTCTGAATGGAATAAGAGAAGTGTCTTTGTGACAGTGTCCTTCCATTAACATGCAGCATGATAGAATGACTATGTAGCCTTTTCTGTCCCTGTGTGTTGGTGTTCTTTTGTCCTTTAGTAGAACGGAACAGATGGGTATGGGTTGACCAGTTGCTCTCTGGGATTATTTGCAGTGTGCAGTCTTGTTTTCCTCTTAAAAAAGGGAGAAAAACATGAAAAAACCTGCATGGAAAAATTGATTTTGCTATGCTGCTTGTTCCTTTCTGAACAGCTTTTCTTAAGTCTTTTAACATCATTGAGAAAGTGCACAATGCCTTCTAACTTAGCTGGCATGTGACTTCGTCGTTTGTATTACACAGTGTCACTACACATGAACTTGGTTAATTGAGTTATTTGTAGTAACAGTGTTAAAACAAAAATTAATAAGTACTCACTTGGGTAGTTTTTTCATGGCAACTGTTTTTATAATTGAAGTGAAAATGTTGAGTTTTTTGTTGTGGAAGATTGTTTCCAAAGGAAATACACCAGAGAAAAATTACCCCTCTCTCTCTAACGTTCTGTGTATACAAGTGGGTAGTTTTTTGTTGGTTTGTTTGTTTGTTTTTGATTTTGTTTTTTTGCTATTTTTGAAAATTATTTGTCTTGAAGAACAGGAATCTCTTTGTAACTTCTGGTATTCATGTGTGAACAAAAGGAGAAATAGTTTCCTTCAGCTTGCTGCTATTGAACTTTGTAACCTATTTCAATCATTTAAAAAAAAAATTCTTGTTCACTTAGCTATCAGAACAATATTTTTAAGTTAGATTAGCAAGCTGTTTTTCTTGGATTTCTGTTACTTGTAAAAGTAGCCCTTTATTTAAAGGCTTTCAGAAAAACATATGTCAACTTGTCAGGTTTCCAGCTTGATGATAACAAACACGATGACCTCAGTTTTCTGTAGGTAGGCATTCTCAGAAGGAAAAAAAAAGAAAAAAAGAAAAAAAAAACACTCAGCAAAAACCAGCTGTATTTAACTATGCTTTTTCCTGGCTGACCACAGCCCATACACACTTCAGTGGTCCTTGTACTTTGGGTGTAATATGGAAGTACTTAGGCTCTTGTTTGTCCATGGAAAAAAATATTCAATGAATTCCTGTATAACCTCCTATTTCAAAAATGTGTCTATGAATATTGCTTATTCTCAACTGAATTCTCACTCAAAAAGTCACTTATGTTTTGGACAATTATAAAAAAAAAATACATGTGCAATTATGTGTAATCCTTTCCTTCCTAGTGATGCTCAGACTGTTGCTCAGTGAAAAGCTGTAGAGACCACACTGTCTCTATTTGGTGTAGCTCCAATATTTCTGAGAAATTAAAGGCTTTCCTTCCCAAGAAAGCAATGAGTATTTGCTATAAACAGGCACTGACTTCGTTATACAGCTGGACAAATAGAGCTCATAGGGTGTGAAGTTGCTGACGATTATTGATCAGTTCATTTACCCTAACAGGTTAGGTTTTTGTTAGCTTATGATTAGCAACCTGTAGCTGTAGAAGCTTTGGCATCTCGTGATTTCAGTCATCGCTGTACCAATAAATTCAGTGCTCCAGTTCTCAAAAATAACCACTGCTAATTTGCTGTGTTTTGGTGTATACACTTACAATCTGAGCAATTGTCTCTGAACTAAAAAGTGGACTTCTTCTACTGGGTTTATTTTTTTCAAATATTTGGTCAAGTGTGTACCCCACATAATATATATTTATGCCCCACTGAATGCAGATGTACCAAATGGAGAAATATTGTTTGACAGTGTCTGGTGTGAACTGTCATACTAACTACAGTGTTTGTGTGCACGCTGGCAGTATCCAGTTCAGTGTAAGATGAGGTGATGTTGGTGTTTAGTGCTGGTTTAGAGTATTTTGAACCACCTAGAAAGACAGTGAAGAAAAAGAAAGAGCTGTACTGAGTGAAATTCTGTTGGTGAAACTGAGATGGACATTCATTTAATGGGAACATTCATTCATTAAATATTAACGTGAGTCTAAAAAATTTGTTTTGAGGTAAAGTTCATAAATGTTCACAAACTACAGCTAGCTTTAAGTAATCAAGCTGCAGCTGAAAATGATGAGATCAATTGAGTTGATTTACATCCCCTTCTGGAGACCTACAAAGACACTTTTAGTACTGTAATGAATTTAATACTTGCTTGTTTCTAGCATGATGGGAGAGATTCTGAGCTATTTCTTCACAAAGTATGAAGGCATATTAGGAACTTTTCCCAGCATTGTGGAAAGGAAATGAACTTTTGGTTTTTGTATTAAACATACGGTCAATTGTAAATAATCCTGTTGTTTTGTTTACTTCCTCTTGGAAAGCACTGTTGAGTTAGAGAAGCATGTGATATACAAATGTGGCTTTGGAAAGTATGCCTGTATTTTTTTGTAACAAATGTTAACTTGAAACCAACAGAAAAATAGCTCTATTTTGAGTGTTATGATCTTGAGGCTAAAGGCT